AAAAAAACATCCAGAGCCTGCTTCTCCATACTCGACTCCACTTGACTAGTTACTCTACGTTCCCTTGCCTTCTGCCCTCGGCTCCAGTGCAGAGCGGTGTGGGTCTATTTTCCACGTGGTCGCAACATGGCTTGCAGCGACGATCGCGTGAGTCTCCTGAAGGCCGGAATGTGTAAATCGGATCAACCAAACGAGTGTGGGAGTGACTTCATGAATGGAAGTTTTTTCTCCCGCATATTGGGGGAGGGAGTGACCTCACATCATGATTGCAAGGTGACATTTTTTTTCCCACGATGGGGGGGGTTGGCTGGCAGGAATTCTACTCCGAGTGGCTTTCGGACGTCGACTTCATCAGGAATCGTCGAAAGCTGCTGAGACAAAGGAAAAAAATTGGAGAAGGTGACCCTGCTGTGCCTCATTTGGATTATAATTGACAACATTGTTTTACACGCCGGCATGTAAGCAAGCGTGCATGTCATGCTCTACCATTTGCATATGTGATAAGGTACCGAGCTTTACATTCCTCATCCGCCTGGCGAAGAAGGAAACCATACAAGAATCTGAGGCACAAAATCCGCTGCATGCATGCATGCAGCATGATTCATGCATGCAAATATGTTTTTGGGACCCTTTCAACCCAGCTTCTGTCCTCCAGTTGGAGCAAGAAGACAACGCGGAGTTTTGCATGAGCTTCCTGGCCAGCTTTGCCCACAATCTTCCATCGGAGGGTGAGATGAAGGCAATTTTGCACAGCATAAAAAAATATATATGCACGCTTGATCCGGTTTGATCTTTTAGGCAGCTACGCCTAACATTTTCAACACGGGAGTTGACCCACCCCGTCTGTTCAGGCAGCGCTTTGTTGGGCTAGCGAGCATTTCTCCCTCAACAAGTTCGAGAACCATGCTGCACATGTTGCCACTTGGCATACTTATAGCATGCGCAAGAAAAAACTATGATTGATTGCAACAACATGGATGGTCATGCACAATCAAGTTCGCAAACCTAGCACGCATGTACATGCGATTGTGCCCAGGCTTGGGCGTCTGTAGAGGCAGGACTCCAAAGGTCTTTTATGACCTATGCTCTTCAAAGGTTCCAGAAAAACCCAACAGCCAGGCAGGCTCTCTCCTTTCGTGAGTTGCGCATATCTTTTTCTTGAGTCTGCATGTGTGCCCTGAAGTTGGTTTATTTGTTCAATCATTTTCAATCAAGTGTTTTTGCCATCAGGTCTGCCAAGAGCAAGATGGCGCAGATCAAAGAAGTAATTCGCAAGAAGCTGGAGGTGGGGTGTGTTCAAATTGATTGACATCTGCAGGGCATTATTACTGGATCATCATATGTAACCCCCCTGCTGGCAGATGGAAAACATGCTCACGGACGATGGAAAGAAAGTGGCTAGCAGGGGGCGATCAGCAGCTAATCAGGAGACTCTAATTTGGCTCTTTTGCAATCTGGCTCTTTGAGCGTCGCCATCTGAATTGAATCAAACCAACTTAACTGAATAGGTCTGCAACTGAACCCTGGCAGGACTTCCGCGACATCATCCCGGAGGACAAGAAGCCCGAAGAGACTCAACCCCATGGCACTCAAGGCCAGGCATGTATGCATGGCAAGGAGTCTGTACTTAATATACTATCTGGGCAGGTGGTGATGAAGAGATCCTGGACAACGAAGAGGAGGTTCCAGAGGTTGATGCTGAGGTTCCAGAGGCCGCAGGCCAGGCATGCATGGCAAGGAGAGTCTGTACTTAGTTGAGCTATCTGGGCAGGTGATGATGCCGACGACAAGCGCGACCTGCCAAAGGCTGAGGGTGGGGAGGCCGCTGGCGTGTCTGCTGTGGAGCCTGTGGAGGAGGCTGGTGGGGAGGCCGCTGGCGTGTCTGCTGTGGAGCCGCCTGTGGAGGAGGCTGAAGAGGAGGCCCGGGAGGAGGATCCTGAGTTGAAGGTTGAGCCACCTCCGCACGATCCTACTTGGACTGACAGCCAAATCCCGGTTGACGACGAGGAGGAGGAACCAGTAGATGGGGATGAGCTGGTTGATCCTGGTCCAGATGAAGCTGGATCAGATCCTACCACATCGACTGCCACTGGAGGCAGTGCTGGCAGTGCCAAGATAGAGAGTCCACCTCTTGAAGAGGTCATGGAGGTTGAAGAGTCTGATGAGGAGGATGGTGCCGGTACCAAAGGAACGTTTAAGGACTGGGGCTGATTAACTCAGGTCTTCTCTCTGTCATGAAGTCAGATTTCTCATCATAACTCACATCTTCACTCTTTTATGAAGTCAGGTTTCTGATCAGAACTCAAATATTTAAGATGTTCTCATTCAAGTCAAGTGCTGACTGATCTGGTCTCTTTCAACTCACCCTTTTGCTCGATCCTAATGTTTTGCAGGACCGGAGGCCTTTGCGTGAGACAGCACCACCACACAGTCAGAAGATCGTGGACAAATGTGCCCAGCTGATGCAGGAGTTGCTGAGGTCGAGAAACATTCCATGCTCGCACAGTGACCTTCTGGAGGCCAGCCCTTGTTTTGCCATCTGATTGAAATCGAAACTTCATCCATGCCGTCCATGCCAGTAAAATTCAAGATTTCATCCACACGTTCGGAATTAAAGCCCTGCCAGGCACAACGCAAAATGAGAGCAGCTGCTCGAGAGATGGATGAAGCGGATGAGAACCATGAGGACGGTGACCGAGCTTTGCGAGAGGAGGAGGACTCTGACGATGCCAAAACCAACAAGCGTGGTCGTGGCAGAGGCCGAGGCAGAGGCAAAGGCAAAGGAAGAGGAAAGGGGAAAGCAAAAGGGCGTGGCCACGACGAGGAGAAGCCGTCAGAGACAAGGAAGCGGCCTGCAAGCAAAGTGAAGGAAAGTGAAGTGGAGGGTGGTCGTGAGGGTGACGCGAGCAGGGAAGCCTCGCCAGTGGTTGAGAAGAGGGTGGCAAAAAAGCTGCGGGCATCAGCTGCGAAATGGAGCCCTAGGAAGCGTCAGGCTCCTAGCACGGCAGAAGCTGCTGATGCTTCCAGCCTTCCATCCAAGAGGACCAAGCAGGCCCTGGAGAAGGCCAAAGCTGCAAAGCATCGGGCCAAACCAGTGGCTCGCAAGCTGGACTTTGATGCGGTGGCAGCTGATGAGAATGGCAACGAGAAGGGTGACCGGAAGCCACGTGGTCGAAAGAAGGTTGACCAGGACAGTTTGGATAGCGATGAGAAGATCGTGAACAAGCTGCCTACAGTGGACACTTGGCATATTTTAGAGCTACAACCTGCGCAAATCTATACCTTTGATCCGTCTGCTTACTGAAATCTCTATTTGCCTAATCTGAGGAGCGTGGCTTGCAGGATGTTCAAGATATTGCACTTCGCGATCCAGCTTTTCTCAAGCTGGTAGAGGGTACTGAAATTGCGGCCCTGATTGAGAACAAAGAACATGATGGAAACTTCAAGAAGTTACTTAACTGCGTGCAATTGGAATTTATAATACATGTTATACGACATCTAGGTGTGCACTGCATGCATGCACCTGCTTGTGTGCCTAAAACAC